TAAACAAGTCCATGACGTCATTGAGGAATGTCCTTCAAATTTATCTCATTTGTTCGTAGCAATATGCACTTTATTACTGGATACCCTGTATGTTAACCTCATTGTCACAGGATCATACGGCCATACGTCGTCCATTTTTAGGAGTAACTGTCAAGTTCAAATCTTTCAATTCCTAGTGTCTTAAGTGAACATTCTGCATAACAGTAAAATCATTTAATTCTTTCACTGCATCTGCTCGGCTGTACGGTCTTCATTCACATCCTGCAGTCTCTATCCTTTATGCTACCATTCGTATATTTGCCCGCCTTCGATGTTGTCAAGTACTGTTCTATTCATTTTCTTTATTTCCCAACAGACTGTAAACAGCATAATAACGGATTCGGAGCTTCAGCACGTCAGCCGCAGCCTCCTTCTGGTCAGACTGGGCGAACGCGTAGAAGATGCATGCGCCGTGTGGAGAAAGCAGAACCTCGGAATCATCGATGAGGTAACCTCATACGTTCTACCTGGAGGGTTCCGAAATTTCGAAAGGATTATGTCATATTAGTGCTCTATTGGGCTCGGAGAATACGACACGGTTTCCGAATTCTTGAGCCCGCCCCGGTTAGATCTTTGCTTTCGCTTTTTAGCACCGTGATTTTTGGTTTTCAGTATGGATTACTTGTACGGCCTCCTAATTAACTTGGCCTGTTACAACGTATTTACTGACAGAGACAGGGGACACCCACAAAGGCTTTTTCTGCCTCATTAGGCATCATCAAGTGGTGATACCCCAACTCCAGTGTAGCAGCGGAAATTGCCACCAAACCCAAGTTTCGAACTCGCGTCTCTCCGGCCAGAGGCGAACGCTCTAACCATTGAGCCACGAGTCCGCCGACTTGTCGGTTTGTGATCGGGACTATATAGTAGTGGGCAACTGTACGCCGATTTGTTTCAGGATGTACCCATCGTGGTTGATGCCTTTTTGGGTGATCCTGGTACCCCAAGTATATATGTGTTGCAAGGCGAGATATTTATGTTATTCGCGAAGTTTTAGTAATTGTATTTACCGACATACATTGTTACTTAAACGTAGCGAATAACATAAATATCTCGCCTTGCAACACATATATACTTGGGGTACCAAGATCTCCCAAAAAGGCATCAACCCGGATGGTTACATCCTGAAACAGATCGATGTACAGTTACCCACTACTGACTTGGCCGGTGTATAGTTCCCGGAGGGGTGAGTATTCCCGTGTCCTAACCCTGACCTAAATCGTAGCCCCAAGCCTAATTTTGCCCTAAAACCTAGATATACAGTTAGCACTAATAACTACATTAAGTCTGATCTCAGTCCTAACTTACTCTAACGTTAACCTTAAACCTAAGCCTGAACTCTGACCATAAACCCAACCCCCCCTCATTTACTTGGAAAGGGCGAAAAGGCAGTTGGGGTTCTTGTTCTCAGATCCTGTTTAAGGGCCATCTAAACCAATATTACCCGATTTTTGTGGATGCTTACAGATCGGTATCCTTCATTTGTAGGTCCAAAATAATTATATTGCCTATTAGCCGGGTTATCCTAAACATACTTCCCAGGTGTGACTGGAATTACTTAGTTGCTGTCTTCGACCAACACCCGACTGTATCCTCAAGATTTAAGTCAGTGCGTCTTCAACTAACATCCACACCACCACACTGCAGGATAATATCATATCGACTGAAATTGGGGTTGTTTAGTCCGATAGAGGTCGTGGTGTCCTGCTATCTACACTGATTGAAGGCTAAAATACGGTCTCACAAAGAGCTATTATTAATATTACCGACAAAGCGAAGGACCCCAGGATGGTCGTTTCTGATGCGTTTGCCGTCATCGGTCAGATGTACTTGACTTCACGGGTTTCGGCATAGCCCACTCATCTTCATCTACAATAACCGAACTTTGGGGGGGAGGGGGTGGGTTGTCAAGGGCGTTCCATGCAAGCCGGGTTTTTTCCTGTATGATTGACCCCAACGTGTCCCATGAGGTTTCTGTCTTTGGAATAACACAAATAGGACCAGAAATCCTCATTAAACGTCTTCTAGTGCTGCCTGTCCAGTGCCCGACTTTAGCCTACGGAAATTAACAGCACAAAGGTTCCAGCCGAGATGCAGTCTGTAAAGTGCACTTACATATTACGGAGTATCAGTCGGCATTGGAGGACTACGCACACGAAAAAAAGAAGCATATAATGAAAGCCATGAGTCGGAATGTTCAGTATCTGAAGATGGGTAGCAGAAACAGCTACTCTAAACGCCAGACATGCAGTAAACCTCTCCCGGTGGATACTCTTCCTTCCGAGAACAAGATTCGATCATTAGCACAACATTTTTGTTCGCCTGACGTTTCGACATCCGTCGCGGATCCTTGCTCAGAGACATCAGCAGAACATAGTAGCGGAATTGCCGAAAATGCGGCAGCAGTGCGGCAAAAGGACGTTTTTTCTCAAGTTGACGCCCCTTCGACGAGACCCAGCCACACATTCAAATTTATTGAGGTCGAAATTCTCTTAAGAGGTGATAATCATGTGAGCCGAGAACTACTTGAGTCATGGTTCACGGCCCTCAGTCCATAAGCAATTGCAACGACTTGCCGATCCGTATTCGGTGCTGAGACTCAATTCGGTCAAGGCAAGTGGCCACTCGGGGAACGCACAAGCTATCGCGTCTTCTTACACCAACACCGGGGAACCAGATGACCGAGCAATCATCACGTCCGATTCCACCACTCCTGATGCAA